ATAACCAGACCTTTTGAGTGTAACCGTGTCGGAGCGTAACTTCTGAGTGTAAAGTTATGTCCTCAGCAGTGGCGCAAACCGAGCGGTCCCTGGCGGCGCCGAGAGCCGGCCCACGCCACTGGTCACTTTAAGCTGAACATAGCTGAAGCAAGCCATCTCAGAGAATGTCAGCGCGATTCAACGGCCACGGCGCAAGAGTGGAATGGCTAAAATAACGTGTTCCGCCAAAAGTGGTACCTTATTTGCTAGATGCTATACGACAATTGAAATTGGTTTCTGCGGCAATCGAAACCTGGGTTCTGTGGCAATCGGAATCTAGCCTGTGCGGCAACCAGAATCTAGCTTCTGCGCTGATGGCTGTTGCATCAATGCCAGCAGACAGTCAGCCGTCAACGGAAAACGTCGCGCTGCGTTGTGTAAATGAAAGTCCGTTACCAGCGCTAGTACCAACAGAACTTGTCGGTTTCAAGTCTGCTGTCACACAGCCATCTGCTGGTGCCGCCGTGGGGCCACTGCCGTGTTTTGAGGTTGTTTGCTTCTCCGCCCGTGGCGTTCTGCCGGGGGCCCCCTGCGCTGTCCCCGCTCCGGTGTGTACCGCAGGCGCAGCGCTGGTGCGCAGTTGGTCACGAGACAAATCTCTCATGACATAACTCAATGCTTGTTTGATAACTTGCTTGAATCCCAAGAAATATACCAGATCTCAAAGGACTTCTCGAAACAATTATGAAAAAGACTCTGGATCTTAAAAGATCCTTTCGCAGACCCGGAAAAAAATGATGGTCGTGGAGATCTAGTAGGATAACTTTGGGACTGGATAACGGATCTCAGAAGAGCCTTTAACAAGATTTCAAAATGGATTCCATTTCCTCAAAGATCCAAAATTCAGGGCTAAGATCAGATCCTTGGATCCATTCATGATATATTAAACATGGAAAGAGTTTTTTGGTTTTGCGCAACATAGAACGTTCTGTTTTTTGTTTGTTTTTGTTTTGTTTTCTTTGTCATTAAGTTTTGACCAGTCCAAGAATGCAAGGTTTCGTCAGGTTTTAAGTACGCTGGCCATCGGGCCAGCAAATTTGAAAATCCTGCTTTTCTGTAGTTTTAAGTAGCACTTAACAGCGCTTAACAAAATTCAAGCCACAAAACTTTTCATCTTCATTTTTTTCAGACAGGCATCATGACCATGGACAAGACCGGAACTTTAGTTAGTTGGCCCAAGGTTGAGAAGAACAAGATACAGAATTGAGGACACTAATGGGACGAATGTGTACACATATGGCTGGCCATGAGCAGATATGTCTGCATTGAAAAAGATGCTTCCTTTATCAAACTAACGTGGTGCTGACAAAACCTAACCTTTTGACAAGGATCGCCTGAACGCAGCCCAGCGACAGATATAAGACCGGCAAATCCGGCTATTGCCATGGGGCACCAAGCCGGTTAATGCCATGGGGAACTAGTCCACATTCAATCATCTCTGGCGCCTTTACAGCCCACTCCTAAGCCAAAATGCCCTGCCAAATTTTCCTCAATTTACAAATATCTGAATCTTCGTCAGCCTGGACAAAGATCTCAAAACTATTATTTTCATGCACAGCAACAATGAGTAAACGGACTCTGCTGTTGACTTTTCAACGGCGGTGATCTCAGATACACAATAAAGATCACTAGCTAAAAGGAAAATAGGCTGTGCTGAGTGACAAGCTCATTTTATCCATTAAAACTTTGGGTAGGACCAAGGCCTTCATTCCTTTAAGTTCCGGAGAAGTTGTTTTCCAAATCTGCAAAACTTTGAAAGAGTTAAAATTGTACCTTGAGTTCATGGAAAGCTTCCGTTGTTCTTGGAGGAGCTCAATCCCCAATGCTTTTGAACGTACCACCCACTGTTGTGTGAATTCATTCGACTTTAAGCCTTGAATTTTTAAAAACACTTTAAAGATAAAACAAACAAATGTCGTCCACCATAGCAAATCGCCCTGAATGAAATGACAGAGGCTGGATAACATTAAGTATATAGCATTAGGCTACACTTTTTTAGGTATACAAACTCAGCAGGCTCTAGATAAAACGGAAATTGTAAGGTACGTACACCCAACATGAAATTTGCATGGGCTGATGTTGCAAAAGGTTCATTCAACATGTATCATGCCTGCTGCTGATGTGTTCCTTGAGCCTTTTTGCACGCTTACATCTTTACATCATGGACGAGACTATATTGCTTTGCGAGGATGCAGCTGCAGCCCGCAACCCGGCATTCCAAAAAATCAACTTTAGATGTATGGCGTTGCACCAAAAGGAACAGAAAATCAAAACATATTTGCACTGAAACTTGCTTGGTTAGGTTCAGCTTGCGGTTTAAACGACCGGTAAGAACACATTTTATATCAACCTATTGGCGCAGCGCACGACCGCAAACTGCAACAGTTGACAAGGCAACATGTGCAAGGGAATGGCGGCCCTGTCATGTTTTAAGTCGTACTGTACGCAAACTTCAATCTGGCCCATCCTGTGCCCTATGAACTCATTACTGGAATATAATCTGTGGTACTGACATTCAGTGAATTGTGAGCGGCCGATGTAAAGCATCATTCAACATTGATAGAAGGTGCATATGTAAATATGGGTGTCCAATGTAGTTTTCAAAAACTTAAGACTGGCACCAACCAAGAATGTTGCTGAGACAATTGATTTGTTTGAGAATGATATTTGTTGGGCTGGTCTCAAGCTTGACATTGGTGGAGCACGTCGTAAGTCATGTATTAAAGATCAGCTGTTCTCATCGCAAGAATTCACAATGCCAAACAAGAACCTAGTCCGGATAAGGCGGACATAAGAACTTCATAAACAAAACATAGACTCAGAACGTTCTTCTCGCCGCCAAGTCATGTTGGAGACTGACAACGTGGTGAATATTGTAGTCACAATGTTGCCCCTTTTATGGCGCTGTAAGCAGTAATCCTTTGTTGAAACACATACTAGTTGTTTGCCCTATTGAGCAACAAATGAGCATATTCTCACGCAAAATTCAGTAATGAAAAACGAGGCGGAAACTGAGTTTTACGCGGGCCAAGACACTCACCATAGACAAAGCCTTTCCTCAGATTTAACGCTATTATATCACAAGCGACTTGGAATTGAAAAGAATCGGCCAGAATGATTTAAAGCATATTCCGAAATAAGACTGATTCCAAGGAGGAGTGGGCTCATGCCCCTCCCCGCCCGCCGCCTGGCGGTGAAAAGTGAAACTTTGATCCTGGCGCACTGCCATTTGTATAATTTATGCAGCAGTCACGAACTACCCTACCCCTACCGCTCGCTACGTCTGATGCCGGGTCCCTTGCGTACACGTGGAAACTGGAAACTACGCTCTAGACCTTTCTCAATATGCAGGGGCATAGTTCCGTCAAAAAAGAGGGGTACGGACTGCTGTAGAGGGTCAAGCGGGCAAACGCAGGCCAAAACACATAAAGTGAGATTTTCTCCACGGATTTGAACCATATTCTTCCCAAAAGGCTGGAGCCTCCAACTGAACAGAAAACTGTTCTCCATTCGGAATTTGCACTGGAACCGGCTCAGCGTGCACCCCTTGCCCTCGCACGACAGCGCTGGAGGCGGCTCAGCGTGCACCCCCTGCCCTCGCACGACAGCGCTGGAGCCGGCTCAACGTGCACCCCTTGCCCTCGCACGACATATCTTATCGTCGAGAGCCACCGGCGTGTTTGTCCACGCGCGCATGTACGAGTACATGTCTAGCTGCCGCCGCTTATCTGCCGGTAGGAGAGCCAATCAACCTGCTCTTCGTTTTATCATGCCATGTCTAGACAGGTAGGAGTGGGTTACCATCCCATCATAGTGGGGCATCATCATCATCCTCCCCATTCCATCATGGGGAGTCATCATCACCATCCACCATCCCATCCTCTTCCTTCTCTCTCTCTCTCTCTCTCTCTCTCTCTCTCTCTCTCTCTCTCTCTCTCTCTCTCTCTCTCTCTCTCTCTCTTTCCCTCTCTCTCTCTCTCTCCCACTCTCTCTCTCTCTCCCTTGCGGCCCTCGCTCACTTCCAGTCAGTATCGACCGGTGATTTTTTTCTGTCAGCATTCCGCGTTTTTTTCGCTGCGACAGCCGTCGCTGCGCGTGCCCTTCTTCCACCGAGTCTCTCCGACCGGCGTGCTGCGTTGTCGGGCGTCCGCGGCGCGGTGTCCGCGGTCTAGACCGCCGGCGGCTTCGCGGGGAGCGCGGCCCGGCCTTCTGCATGCGCGGCGCCTGCACTGTCGTGTTTGTGGCGCAGTTGCACACGTTGCAAGCGTTGCAGACGCGCCCGGCCGGCGGCGGCGGCGCCGGCCTCGCCGGCCGCCGGCACGCACAGGGTGTACACTGGGAGCAAAACGCCCAGCCGCCCATGGCCTGCCGGGCGCCCGCCCGCTCGCGCCGGCGCCGGCGACGAATGCGGCGCATTCGGTGGTGCGACGTCCGGCCTACGGCGGGATCGGATGGCCACCGGGTCATCGAGGTCACGCACAGGTCACGATGATGGGTCACACAACCATGTGTGGAGCTGGAGAGCAGCTGCCATGTCGCGAGTTCTGCCAAGGTCACGCTAAAAATAAGCAGAAAATAAGTTCGTCGCGTCAATCATTCGGCGACCGCACCTCCATCCCCCTCCCCCCGCGGCGCGCGTACCGGCGGGGGTCCCGCGGGCGGGCACTGCGCCTCGCTGATTGGCTGCCGTCGCCCCTCCCCCTCGCGTGCCAGCCGCCAGGGCCCGGGCATGGCGCCCATGGTGCCGCCGGCCGGCCGCAGCCCATGAGCAGCCATTTTTGCGTAACCGGCCGTCGCGGCCGAAAGGGGTTCGTGTGCGCGCCGCCCCAGAGTGCCGCGAGTGCCCGAGTGCCGCGCCGAGCGCGAGTGCGGCGAGTGCGCGCGCGACGCGAGTATCCCCGGTGACCTGGCTGCGGCGGGGCGTTTTTGCTGCGGAGCGGCCACGGCGAGCCCGTCCCCCAGGCGCCGCCTGCGAGGCCTGTGCCATGAGGTGAGCGCGCCGTCGCAACGGCCGGTCAGGTCGCGCGCTGTTGCCATGCTGCTGTGGACCTTGAACTTGACCTGCGCCCTGAACGCCGGAGAGACGCCACAAACCGCCGTCCAACCGCCCTGGCGTTGGCGTAACCTTGGGCGGGCCACCTTTGTCCGGGCGGCGAGCGCTAAAACCGCCACGCGCGCGCGCGGACTCGCGGCTAGCGGCCCGGATGCGGGCAGCTCTGCGGGTGGAAAGGGCCCGCTACGGGGGGAGACTGCGGCAGGAGAGGCGACAGACGCCGGCTGAGGCCTGGCCCTGCAGCGGGGTGCGAAACGGGGGATGTATGTGGGTTCGATCCAATCGCTACCCAGCCAGGCATGGGCAGATCCAATTCAAGGCCTCCTAGCTTGTCCAAGGCCAATTCCGTCCAGCCGGCGTACGAAAAAGTTGTGGAAACCGTTATCCGTCTTCCACCTAAATCGTACTCACGTGTGGAGCAGCTCGGCCTATCCGGTCTTGATTCGATGGGACGATGGGACGAACGGACGGTGGGATGACGGGACGATGGGGCGACGGGGTCTCAAAATTCGCTGGATCATTGCAGGAACTTGACGCTCGAGCGCGCAGCAGGCGGGGTTTGGCATAATTGAGGGGCACCTGCTGGGGAGAGTTTTGGCGAGGGACCCTGTATTTCAGCTGCTGGCTTGCGCTCGTCGGAGGACGCCTCGGGATGGGCCTCCGCCAGAGACATATTTCAGGTCAATCAGGAGTGTCTAAACCCGGCATGTTCATGCCTGTTTACTGGCCACATGTACTGAATGTTGTGAATGAAGCGACCACCAGTTCTGTTGACACCATGGCATGAATGACGTAAGCGGGCGAGAGCAGCGGCATTTACAATGCTTTTGACCCCGAGTAACTGGGTCTCAATTTCCCTTGATTACTGTGGGGGACAGGAAAGTACTATAACTGCGCATGTGTGCATGCGATGGAACTTATCGTTTATTGATAAGTCAAAATATCCAAATGCTGCTGTGCTCATGAGTTATCGAGCAGCGAGCATGTTTGTGAGCGCTCCCATTCATTCTGGACTTCGGCGCCCGAAAGCTGTTTGACCCTCGCGAACTTGCTCGGAAAGGTGTCTTTAGTCCGCATGTGAGGTGAATATAATGCTGCAGTAATGTTAAACGCAGGCGAGGCGTCCTTAGTGTTTCCGCTCTTTTTGCTCGCCCGTTCGTCCAGCGACAGGTTATCGATTCCCGCTGCCACCACTTAGCGTTTAGACCAAGCCAGACTCACCATGGACACTTAATAGCGTTCAATTTCCTTTCGCTGACAGCTCTTGATTGTTTCTTCGCACGCATTCTCCCCGTTGGCTGCCCTGTTCTCGTTGTCGATCCGTGTTTGCTGCCGTGTCGTCTGTATATTACATTCTTCACATACGCCCGAGTGTATGGACACCGATTCGTCTCAGCCCCAGCGCCATTGTGACTGACCAAAGCTGTGACTGGACTGGACGACGTTCGCCAAGTGACTGGACTAAAGCTTTGACTGGACTGGACCACGTTCGCCGTGTGACTGGACCAAAGCTGTGACTGGACTGGACCACGTTCGCCATGTGACTGGAACCAAAGCTAGACCACGTTCGCGATAGCCCGAGCCGAGGCTATCTTTGAGCCGTCTTTTGCTTTGAATGAAGGTTCCGCTGAGGAGGTCGAAGCATTGAAGCCAATGTCACCAACTCGCGGGCTCACTGAGAAACTAAAGCTTTTCTCTTATTGGCTCGTGTTTCCTGCGCTCGTGTGCGGCGACTGTCACGTGTGAAGTGTGGATTTTCAGGATCAGTGGATCACCGCGTGGGGTGTTCAGCACTTCGCAGTGTGTGGCAGCTTCCCTTTACTTAAATGCGTTCATATGATCTAGAGGTGGCATGCGAGTTCACGTGCTTTTCGCTGCTCGTTTTTGCATGGGTGTGCTCGGTTTGTTTGCACTGCTGTTAACACCTGTCACACATTGGCGTAGCTTTTTTCGACCCAACATCGTGGCAAAAACTGGGCGGGTCGCGGGCACCGCGTAATCTAAACACTATGACGCGCTCAAACGCAGATATGGCGACGCAACACATGCGCGCGTGCACACACACGCACACACACACACGCACGCACGCACGCACGCACGCACGCACGCACGCACGCACGCACGCACGCACGCACACACGCATGCACGCACGCACGCACACACACACACACGCACGCACGCACGCACGCACGCACGCACGCACGCACGCATGTGCTTTTTGCGTTTTAGGGAGTGCCTTGCTATAATTTGTTTTATCGAACAGCTGGCAGACAAAAGTGAGCTGGCGTCGCCTGTACCGTCTTGGTTCTGGCTGAGCGCGGACGCGCGCGTACTTAAGCCGTGCCTGCTACGCCTGCTTACCGACTGGGGTGGCGACACGGCCCGGCTGACAAAAATCGGGGTCTTTGGGCCTTGTGCCCCCCCCCCCCCTCAAAAGTCGCGTTCGCTTCCCCCTAGAAATCGGGACCTAGGGCCTCGCCCCCTCAGAAATGGAGGCTTCGGGTCTCACTCTCCCCCAGAATTGGACGGCCTCGGGTCTCACTCTCCCTCAGAATGGAGGCTTCGGGTCTCACTCTCCCCCAGAATTGGAGGCCTCGGGCCTCACTCTCGTCCAGAGATGGGGGCCTCGGGCCTCACTCTCGCCCAGAGATCGGGGCCTCTACGGCACAGGGATACGGCAAGCCGTACGTGACCGAGGGGGGCGAGTTGGAAGCGCCCCACCCAGCCGCGCATGCAGGACTCCGCGGGGGGCAGGGGATGTGGCCGCATCCAATTTTTACACGCATTTATTTGCGCGTGGATTAGTTTCCGACGCTTTAAAAATCGACGTAGACACTAAAAACAATGCGTATGCAGAAGACATGCGGCGAGCAAACGTATTTTTTTGCTCATGATAATTGTGGATTATGTTCACCCCATTGCAAAATCGTACGTAAACCACTGTCTCCACCGGATATTTCCGTGTACACCACCCACAACAGCGTGTGGGTTTTGATAGGTCCACGGAATAGCTGCCACGCAGGATGACAAATTGCTTTGTGTGAGTCCTTCAAATGAACGCTTCCAGCTGCTGCTGAGTCATGAGTCTCGTGATTCACGTGAACGACCTACGTGCAGAGTGAGGGGGGCAGAGTGTTAGTTTCTCATTTTGTTGGGGGGGGGGGGCGGGTGCAGCCTCTCAGCTTCACTTTGACCTTGGTGGAAAATCTTCCCGAACCTTTTTTAGTGAATAGTACTATGCTTCTACATAGAGAGTAGCATCGTACACCGCGGAGCAGGTGCGCCGTGTACCAAATTCGAAAACGGTGCACCTAAACAGCGTTGCATGGTCGAAGGACCACGAACCCCCCCCGCCCCCCTTCCCCTCTGTGCCTTGTCAACCGTCCGAAGGACCCCTTGTCTTGTCAGAATCGTTGCTTTATTGCCTCTCCAGACCGTCATCTCACCATCGCCGACAGCTCGAAAGACAACACATCGGCGCCGTCGGATTGGTGGCGCCAGATGGTGGCCAATTGTCACTCAGTTGCATTACGGTCGAGAGGTCCTCGTCACGTTCGTTTTACTGGCCGACCGCTGCCTGCTGTCTGGTGCTGTCGACGTGTGTAACACAGGGAGGCTCCCAGATGGTAACGACGGAGGCCGTGCTTGGATAACAACAAACGCATGATGTGCGCCAAGATCAGCATTAAATCGACCTGGAATGGCCGGGCATGCTAGGGTCACGCACGAGCGCACCCCCAGTGCCTGATACGTGACACGCGTGCCCTTTGTGTTGCATGAGACATCATTTTCAACAAAGTTCGATGTTGCGTCATGAAAATGGCGAGGGCCGGCTCTGAACGTGGATGATTAGCAGATGGTTTGGTTGACCTGGCTTGACCTCGATAATCGTAGCGTTTGAAGGCTTGGCTGTGAAGGAGTCTTCACAGAGCAGCAATATGAAGAATGCGATTATGTTCGGTGAACTTCAACCTAGCGTTTCCGCCTCCCTGGCGTTTCAAAAATGTTCTGTAGCGGACAGAAAGGAACGATCAGAGGCTTTGGCCATGATTTTGCGTGCAATAATTGACCATAGTTGACTTCAAGTGTACAGTACTGTCACTCGAAGTGTCAGGATTTAGAGCAATTCTTAGCAGTTTACGTCGCCAATCGGTGACGCGACGGTGACGCCAACGAAGCGACAAAAAAAAACGAATATCTTCAATGGTAGCTATCAAGGAAAGGTGCCCTTTGACAGAAGGCGTGACGAGACGCTGGAGCTGCCTCACATCCCACCTGTGAGAAATGCTCAAAGAACCAAAGAGATCAAAATGATTATGATTTAGGAAACAAAAAATTGTATAGAGGAGTAGTAATACTCGGTACCCCGAAAATCCGCATTTCTGTACTCCCTGGGAACCAAGCCAAATAAACGCAGCGCGTGCTTCCTTAACCCTTATTAGTCTCAGGTACCTACGGTACATGTGTGTGCATGCATTTTCTGGCAAGTTGCCAACCAGGTTGAATCATGCGACGAACCTTGCATGAATGTTCCAAAAGATGACTAGCCGGATATGCCATACACTACTCAGTGCATTGTCTTGGTGGCAGACCGCATGAGCTCGTTTTACCTGTTTAATGTTTCAGTGGCTTGTTTGTTCAAAATTTAAAACTGTCTGCGGTGTCAGGGACAGGTACTTTCCGCACAAAACATTGCAAGTCGTGGAATAGCGGGACCAATTTGGAAAATGGATTGACAATTCAATGAAGGAAACCAACCGGATTAGCGGTTCATAATTGCCGCGACTGCGTGACTCGCACCGGAGCTCATCTTGGCGGCGAATGGGACTGGCCCAGCATTTTAGTCTGCGTGCATAATCATGGACGAGCTTTCCTGGATGTCATGATACTACTGTGTACTTAGTCCGCGACTTTAAAATTTGGCTTATCGCCCACCG